GTGTCTAAGAAGTAAAACAATTCAGAAGGTGTATTTATGGTGTAATGTTGCTCCTGAGGTTTTGTCAGGTCAAAGGTTTACGCAAGTTTCTGATATTTACAGCGCGGAGTCATCACCTCAACTGGACAAAGACCTTTTGATGGCTATGAATTTAATGTTGATCTTGCAATAAAAATCCGTATAGGATTGCGGCCAGAATTTGCTCCTGGGACTCCGAATTTCTATATTGAATTTGCTAAACAATGCATGGATTCTGATCCACAAAAATGGCCTACTGCTTATAATGTTCGTAGTAAATTTATGGAATGGAATAAAATAATGAAAAAAATCAGATGATGCAAATGCAATTAGAAAGCAATTCCTAGAAGCAGATAAAATAACCAAAGAATTATCAATTTTCTCACCAAAACATTCCGAATTTATGTGCACTAATAAAATTATCAACACACAAAAATATTAGATGCAATTAAAGGCAATTTGTAATATTACATTATTTTGCCTTTTTTGATTAACGCTAATTATGCTACGTATATTAGCGCATTACCAAGTCAACTTATTAAAGTGGTTTTCCGTTATTAGAATCTAAAATTGATACTGTATCCATTTGTGTAATAAATTCGTTTAAAAAGATTAAATGATCATGAAGTTTCAAATTAATGGTTTTACCACAAAATCCCGACACCCAAAATCTCGAAAACCATAATCCCGACGCGACAATTAGTATTTAACGATTAGTAATCACATTAACAATCATTGTTAGACTTTAAATTTTTAATTGGCACATCGGGTGATGCCAGTATTATTGCCTGTCGGGATTTTGGATGTCGGGATTTTGTGATAAAACCCAAATTAATGACTAATTGTATACTGCATTGGTTCCAACTCACACATTTTAGAAAATATCTTGTTAATAGAACAAAAAGTCTGTATTTGAAAGAAAAATAATAGTTTAATTTACATCGATAAATCTAAATTTAGCTTCAAGCATAAAAGTTGTCTATAAAATTGATATACAAAACAGTAAAAGAATAAAGACTATTATACTCGTCTAATTTATTCATATTTAAATAGAGTAAAAGCATTCTTCAATGCTAGTCTAGCTATCTCTATAACAAATCTATTCAAATTAACATCTATTTAAAAGCAAATTACGAATTTCATTTGAAATATCCATATCAATTTTATTGCCATAAAACCATAAGGAAGTTATTGTAATGTTCTTGTAAAGAGACTTTATTAAAGTTTTTCCTACTTCCGAATCAAACTTATTATGGCAAATACTGATAGTGGTTAGGGTATTATTGTTACAAAGTGACTCCGCTAACGCTTTTCCTCCTTCAAAGCCGAGTTTATTTTCATCAATATATAGGCGCCTCAGAGTAATGTTTTTGCAGAGAGCTTCTGCTAACGCCTTACCTCCCTCACAACGAAGTTCATTTTCCTCACAATATAAATGTGTTAATGTAGTATTTTCATGAAGAGCTTTTGCTAAAGCTTTTCCAACATCAGAGTTAAGTTGATTTCTACTAATGTTCAAGGAAGTTAAAGCGGTATTTTTACAAAGAGCCTCCGCAAGCGCTTTCCCTCCTTCAAAGCAAAGTTTATTTTTCTCAAGGTCCAGGTAAATTAGAGTAGTGTTTTTGCAAAGTACCTCTGCTAATGCTTTTCCACCTTCGGAACCAAGTCCATTATCAGAATAATGCAAGGAAGTTAAAGTAGTATTTGTATGAAGAGCACCTGCAAATGCTTTTGCTACACCTTCATCAAAATTATTTTTACTAATAGATAAATATGTCAAAGTAGTATTTTGATAAAGATTTTCTGCAAACGTCTTTCCAACCTCAGAATTAAGTTGATTATCCGAAATGTCTAAAGATTTTAGAGCAGTATTCTTATGAAGCGCCTTAGCAATTGCTTTTCCTCCTTCGGAACCAAGTTCGTTACATTTAAGGCTAAGATGAGTTAGAGTGAAATTCACATAAAGAGCCGTTGCTAATGCTTTTCCTCCTTCAGGTCCTAAGAAATTGTCTGAAAGATATAAGTAAGATAAAGTAGTATTTTTATAAAGTGCCTTTGCAAATGCTCTTCCAACTTCAGAGCAAAGACGATTTGAAATAAGATTCAACGAGGTTAAGGTATTATTTTTATAAAGTGCCTTTGCTAATACTTCCCCTCCTTCAAAACCAAGTTGATTGTTATGAAGATTCAAATTGTTTAATGTAGTATTTTTACAAAGAACAGCCACTAATTCCTTTCCTTTCTCGGAGCCTAATCGACCATACGAAAGTTGTAAATCAGTTAACGTAGTATTCTTCTGAAGAGCTTTTACTAGTGCTTTTAATTCCTCAGAATTAGGTTCGTTAAAAAATTTTAAGGAAGTCAGAGTTGTACACTTATTGAGAATATTTGTTGTTAAATTTATTTGTCTACCACAAATTGTTAAATGTTTAAGTTTTTTACTCGTTCGTAAAAACATTTCGATTAAAGAATATTTAATTGCATGAACTGCCTGAGCTCCATAGTCATTATAAAGTTCTATAATTCCATAGTCTCCCTCAAGATTCATAGATGTAGTATAAGATGTATATTCAAACAATGGTTTCGAGTTATTCGGAAGAATTATATTAAATGGTATTAATTGTGCTTGTTCTTCTGTATTTAATGCCAAAAGACAAGTTCGTACAAGTTTCTTATTTCGGAAAATAATTAGATGATTCCATAACATCGGTACAACAGTTCTACACCATTGACGGTTTATAAGAAGGCATGAAAATAAGTTGTGGTAATCTTTAAGATTATTTAAGATTTCGAATAAACATTCATTTGGCAATACTATCATCTTGTAATTTTTTTGGAAAGATTAAAATTTAAATTACAGTACGTTATAATCGTTTATATAGCTTTCGGAGAATAATGATCAGATTTAACCATATACAGTAAAATTACAGTCTATCATCAAATGAACAGTTAGCCGGGTTAAATCGGTGCCCTTGGAATTTCGTGGTGCATAGAATCGGGTTCGTGTAACTAACGCGTTGCATGAACGTGATCTTATTTAAGGATATAAAATTTTCGACATTAACGGTAGCTTGAAAAAAGTTAGTTTTTAGTTACTTAATAAACTGCGTGTTTGTGTTGTTATATTGTATGTGGCATTCCTGGTGGCAGTATCTGAAACGATATTCCAGTTATCGCTATTAAATAAAGCGAGTGCCTTCGGTAATTGAAATTGAGTAAAGCCCCTTGGAGTTAATGAGCTCCGCAACACCAATAAAAATGAAAAATTGCAAATGATTATCCTTGTTATTGAATCCAGCGAAACGCTAGAGAAAAAAAAATCTTATAATGAACTATAGTAAAGAAAGCATAACTTATAATAATGTAATTGCTGCATCAAGACTAGTGATGCGGTAGAATCGTCCCAATGATGGTCGTCACATTGCCGTCGTAATTATAGTAAGTAGTATAGTAAGTTACGGCATTATAGCCGTAACTTACTATATTTACTTTGCTATAGTTACCGCAAGATATGGCAATGTGACGCAATGTGACGACTATCATTGGGACGATTCTACCACATCACTAATCAAGACACAGAACAAGTGCTTACGGCAAATCCCAAACTATTCTTAATAGTCAGTGGTAGAGACGTATCTCGTGTATGTAAACTTTGTATACATATATTTTGTGCAAGTGTGATTTCGCTAAAGTCATGTTAAATTCATTTTAGAATATACTGATATATATTTAACTATTTTCTTTGTCTCGCACGAGTTGTGGTGTCATCGCACGCATAACAAGCAAAATAAACGAAGTTGCAGGTACAATGGTTTAGAGCCTCGCATGAAGTACACTTATTCAAAGGACATGTCTCTGCGCAGGACTCAAAGTATTAATCATGTCTGTACGTGACGAAAGATCTTTCTATGACAATAGTATTTGTGAATGATTTGCTATCACGACCTATGCCAAAAATATATTTGCAATACTTCGTCATCGAATCATGAAAACCCTGACCTTAACCTTTCTTTCGAAAGATCTTTTTAAGTTAAAGACAAGAATAACTAGAACGCATACTAATTTAGGTGATCATATGCTATAATTACTGTAATTTTGTGCAATTTTACGTAATTTGTATAAATGTGAATAACGTTGGCAAAATTTATAGTGCCTGGAATATTAAAATTATAGTTAGGGTTGGCATTACATAAATTATAATTTACGTTACATGTAAATTACATTGTAATTTACGAAATTGTACGTGCTTTTATATTAATAGCGTATAAGCACATGATTATGATGTAACAAATTTGACCAGAATTACTATATATTCGTTGCTCACATTACAGGATCACAAGGATAACTTACTTATAAGTATTATTTAAAGTTTTTTTTTTTATAACGCTAATTCTTTTGCAAATAATGCTATAATGTTTTAATTTTTTTTTTTTTTTTAGGTTATTTTTAGCAAAAATTGCCTTCGTTTTTACATATGAACAAGAAAGAAAAACCATAGATTATATATTTTACTTCATTTTTGTCATCATCTCTATTAAGTTCTTGATTATTTGAATTAACAGATGTTTCTTGCAGATTGTTAATTAATGCAGATCTTCCTAACCGACGGAGAATTCATGTATTCCAATAAATATAGACAAGCTTTTCTGAACATTCGATTACGCAGCTTTGAATGAATAAATCCATAGACGGACCAATTACGCTCACTGGCTGCAGAAGTAGCAGTAATCGATAAGAATTTGCGTACAACTTGACTTAAAATTGGATATTGAATACAGGAATACTTAATAAACTCCACCAATTAAGTGGTTTTGAGGTAAGTTTTTTTCATAAATACTTTTTTGTAAAACCACCTAATTTTCCAACATATTCCTCTAACTCGTTTAATACCTGATTTTCGTTGCCAATGCCTGCAATTCATTATCGTTATTTATTATATCTACCATATTTAGAAATCAAGATCTTCACCCCGATATCTGGGATCAAGGGGTATATGCAACTACCCATCGATTTCTAGCTGCTTGTGACATATTATTGCGAAATTCTAGTGGAATTTTTGTATTATCCACAATTTTAAATTTTAAATCCTGCAATATTTTATATGCAGAAGAGAGATATGGCTCGTCATCCTCTAATTGATGTATAAAAACAATAAATGGTTCTAAAAAATCACGAAGCTTTTTAAGATCTTTCCAAAATATATAATCCACAATAATCTCTTTAATTTTTCATCTATTTTCAGTTAATATGGTGTAAATTGCAGTCTGAGTTCGTAAAACATGATCAAGGCATTCAAATGCTGATGTCCACCTAGTATCAACGGTTAAAACAAGTGCGATCTCAAAATTATAGGTTTCTTTTTGTAACCGACGAAGAGTTACCATAGGAATTTGATGATTACGGAAATACAAAACTAACTCCTTAGCCTTCTTTAAAGTCTGTGATGCCCATCTATTTTTAAGAATATCTTTAACCCAAAGGTTTATTCTGTAGGCTCAGCATCCAAGAAAGACCTTGCTTGGATATTTATTTTTTAAATTTTCCATGCGGCTTTCATATTATTTGCATTATTATACTAACAAACTTATCAGCTTTAGTTTCTTGTATTACATTTTCAATTCCTTTAGCTATATTTTCTGTAGTGTGATGTCCTTCTTTAGTACAAACTGATTTATAAAAAATCGGATCAGGTGTAGTAATCATGTAATTAATTACTGGTGATTTGTTAACGTTTGACCAACTGTCACTAATCAAACAATGATAAAGTGTTTCATCAAGGGTATTTTGGATGACTACTTGTAGATTCGTATATTCTCTATGACGAAGTGAATTAAATATTGAAAGAAGGGCAAGCTTTTTTAAGAAAGGCTTGAAAATCTACATTTTCAATTACATTAAATGAAGTTCATGACATATAAAAAGCACACGCAAGCAAAGATTCCAATTCAATTTATCTTGCGGGGTAATATTACCAGAATTTAACTTTTGCTTTTTATTACGTAAAGCATATGTATTAAGATGTTCTTGCAACTGAGTTAAATTCTTTACCCATTCCTTTTTGCATGCCTTGTATTTGTAACGTTCATTACCCCTTTCATCGATTCTTATAGTATATTCGTCCCGTATATCATCATTTTTGTTTCGAGGCATTTTAATTTCATTATAAAATTTTACACATTTCTATATTCATTTATATAAGCGATACGAATAACATAAATTTTTTCATTATATTAACTGATGATATAAATAATATAATAAACTTTCATCTGTTATACTATACCGTATCGTCTCGAAACAACGCCCCGGGTGTAGTTTAAAATTTTGGCCCGAATTAAGCTAATTTAGGCCGAATTGCTTAATTCGGGCCAAAAGTTTAAATTACACCCCAGGTGTTATTTCGAGACAATACGGTATACCAGCATTATGAAAGTTTGGCAGTATTATTAATATGTTCAAATTACATGAATTACGTAATTTGCCAACCATAATTGCAGTTCAGTTGTAATACGGCAATAATCATATGCCAATGTTTGTAAATTTCAACTCTAATTTACCAACCAACGCCATTTCTTTCTACTGTATGTGCTTTATGATTTCATCGCAATGCTTAAAATGAAACGTTAACGTTAACTCACAACATTTTCGCATTTGATTAAATTAATCATTCCAAATAAAAACAAAAAAGATAAAGTTCAAATATGATAAGGTGTATGGTTTTTCTTCTTGTTTTATGCCTCCGAAGCTCTTTCGAGATGAATCACTATTTAAACTTAAATAAAGTATTAATATACTTATTCATTTTTATGATAATAATAATGAGACTTAAACCTTTCCCGAAAAAAACATCAGCTCCTGACGGAAGTATGATACTGTAGTCAATAATCAAGAGATTATTTACAGAAACGACAAAAAACTACACACTATTATACCATAACCATTACAATAACAGAAACGGCAGTACCTTTTGTTCCTCCTCGTGATACTAATTACCAACTTGTCATGAATTTGACTGTGAGTGGGGTTATAAGTATGATTCCCTTTCTGAACGCACAATCAGTGTAAAATTGCAGAAATATCTCCTCGGTTACATATTCTTTTACAAAACAATAACTTCAATAATAAGTACTGAGCATCCAAATATTCCAACTACAACAGCAAGAAATAATACTTGTAAATCTCTGGATTATGCTGTATCAAACAATTTATATACAAGTGATGTTAAATATGTTGTACTGGTACTATTGGCGGTACTATTGTTGGCATACTCTGTGGAATTGTTTTCTCTTTTGGGTTCTATAAACTTAAAAGATGATGGAGTTCCAACTTCGTCATCAAATCCACGAATCTATATTTATAAATCTATTTTTAATATACACAATAAAACGAAATATATTCTTCATCATTATTCAATTTACTGAATATTACATCTAATTAATGTATCGTTAAAAAAATTTGTATCCAACAATTGAAATTCATTACTATATATTATATATATCGTGTAGCAGATCAAAATTTAACTGCGCAGTTCTTTTTTTTAGGGTCAGGGTGGATGTCTATGTTGGGTATTAGCAGACTTATAGTGATTTAATCTGACGTATATTTTAATCTGAGACACAGCATATGCATTAGTTTCATTTGATATTTTAATAAATTGTCATATTTTCCTAAGTTATAACAACATCCTAGAGATTCTGCGTTATTTGTGTCAAGGTTCAATGCTTTATTTAGATCTTTAAGAAAATTGTTATTGCTATTGAGCATACAATACACTTGTTGTCAAGTTTTTAATACATTAACATTTTTTGGTTCAAGTGTACTTCTTTATATTTTCCCAATTGAACTACAAACCAACCATGCAATAGTATTTTCGTATCTTTTTAAGTAAAAGTATGTTTTTCCTCGATATCGTAACGTTGCCGCATCAACCAGATTAATGTTTTGTTTGATGTTTCAGAAAAATTTGCTAATGAATCAACCGGATTAATGTTTAATGATTTAGAAAATCTGCAGGAGATTCTCATAACGTTTTGACTGTAATATGTCTTATTCTCCTCGAATTTCAATGATATCGTTAAGATCTAATATATATGTATTACACCAATCCAAATCCAGTGCTCTCGTTAAATCTTCAATAAATTTTTCATATTTTCCAAGCCAGTAATAATAAATTTTATTTCCACTAATCATGTTATTAATGTTATTTAATTAATCTCAACACTAATTCCCTTCACCAATTTGAATGAATTGAAATTATGTTTTGACTTTAACAATTGACAACTATATTGTGATGGTATACCAATTTCACGTATTGCTCTAAATCTTTTTTGATATTATTCCAGTGCTCACAAGTCGGTATATTCGTTTCATCTGAATAATCAGCTATGTATACTCTACGTAGAGTCATTTTCCGAATACAAAACCTAATTAAAGAATCTATTGTTCTTTTATAATGATCTTTTTGATAATAATTTACGGGAAACAATAGTTTTTTTAAAGATGCATCACAATGGTCAAGTAAAACGTCTACGTGCGCATCCAAGGATTCATGTACAGAGGGCACAGTATCTACCGCAAGATATTGCAACGTAGACGGTAGTGCTTCTGCCAGACGCATTATGCGTGATTTCATTGCTTCCTCTGATCCGTCTATTATCCAATATAGAGTAAGAAATTGAAGTCTTGGTAAGCTGCCAATAAACTCCAGGAATTGAACAGAAAGTGTAATATCCGAAAGATTTAGATAAGTAATATTTGGACAGAAGGTCATTAATGTATTTAGTAATGAAAATTGTGAACAAAGTTCTTGTCCATTCGATGAAAGATTAAGTCGTTGTAGCATTAAGCCAGACTTTTCTAAAATAGGTATTACATCTGATGCATCTATCAGGTCGGATGTTATTTCTAAAGTATTACAAAGACTAGTATTTAATGTTTTTAAGATTTCTTTGTCACTGCACCTTAAGATACGAACAACTTCTAGATTTTCACAATTTCTTAGAGCTTTAAACTCTGAACTATAGGCACAGCGATGAATAATAATTTCTCTTAATGAATTTTGTTGACTTTCTAAAGCTGAAATGATTCCAAAGAATTCCGTAGAATCTTTATCGCCATATATTTTAAAACATCTAAGTTGTTCTTGTGATTTAATAATGCACATATATGCGTAAGATAGTCGCCGGTAATAACCAGAAGAACAACCAATTGTCAAGTTCCTAATTTTCGTAGAATTTTTTGCCAGGATACTTAAAAATGTGATAACATTTTCGATGCAATTATCATCTACTATCGTATTTAAATCATGAAGTTGCGAAAGAAATAGTATATTTTGCCCTAATAAGTAAAAGATATCCGATTTGATTTCAAAGCGACTCTTGAAGAGAAATAAATTCAATATAGATAAAGTGGCACCACTCTTGATAAATATTCTAAATAATAAATTGGCGACATGATATTTCAATTTTTTCATTTGATTTTGATGCAGGAATGGGAAGCGGAGGTGAATCCAATAAGTAACCACATATTCCAGCTGAGATAAACAAAGAACCTTTAAAAGCCTTGCGTATCTAAATAGTGTATTAGGAAAATCAGCTGTTATCTTATATTCATCTAAAAGTAATTTTTCGTCCTCATCAAGTGATGCAAAGTATCTAGATATAAACATTGGACTTTTTGCAAATAAAAATGGATCTTGCCAAAGTATTGGAATTGACATCTTACACCAATACCGGCTTACAAGTATACATGAATGTAAAGAATGAAGGTCTTGATCCAAATTATTAAAAATTCTTTCAAATAACTCGGGCATATCGCCCAAAAATATTTTTGACGCCATGAGAAAGATTCGTAGTTACGTAATCAAAAATTTTTTTTTTAGGTTACTTATGATAATCGCATTGTAATACGTTACGCATGCATAATAATGACGATCTTGATGCTCCTAAATTCTTATTTCTGCATTACGTATATAATGCTGTAATGACTGGAAAAACGTGATCACGGGATTACTGCGCCGCAACGTACTATGACTATAATAATAACGCAAAATCGCGATTATAGGATTATCGATTGTTTTATTATAGGCATTTAGAGTTATCTACAGTATATACTGATTGATTAAATGATAAATGAAGCGCTGGTTATAACAATTTTCAATTAATTATTTATTTATCAAACGAAGAAGTTTCAACAGAGTTGCTCTCTACCCGTGTCGATTTATATAGTTTGATTGGCCAATTATTTATCACATGATTGGAATCACAAAATCATGTCAATTTGCTCTACCATAGAGTCTTTGCTACGCTTCGGACAATTACTAATTTACAATCGATCGTTATATTTTTAACTACATTTATCGATGCTTACATTTTTTATGCTAATAACAATCAAGCAACAGGCTTGAATAACGCAGTTATTTGGGCCCTCGTAATATTTTTTAAAAATTAGGCCCTTTATATGTAATTGTTTTTAATTTGAGCCCGTATTTGTAATTATTTTTACTTTCCGGGCCCTGCGTTGTCATTTTGCAGACATTAAACTTTTCTATGAAAAAACGCATTTTTTTATTTTTCTTACATATACATTCATTACGCTCAAATGTTATATATTACATTACATATAACATTTACCATTCGTCATGGATTTCGTTATTTGTCATGAATTCGTCATTCGTTATGAATAGTCATTTCGTCAACTTGAAGTTGCTTAACGAAATGGTTTCATCATTCTTCAATGATCATTCGTCACCCATCATTATTTTTAACTCTAATTAATTAATTTTCCACCACCTTAAACAAATCCAACAACCTGTAGCATTCTTTTAAGCAAAGAAACATTGAAATTGAATCAGTAATTCTCGATTTATAGAATGTGAACAATTATTTCTGGGTCTTTTTTGCGACCACTGCACTAAAGGTAATATTAACATATAGAAGGTAACAACGTAATAATCTGACATATGAGATAATTATCGCTGTTTGCAAATTGATGTGACTTTTGATAAAATTTGTAGCCCGAATGTCCAATTGCAATCGATTATACGTGATTGTACGTGATTTTACGTGATTGTATGCGATTTAATCGCTCAAAGTTTTTTGATGTTTATCTAAAATAGAATCTGCACCAAATTTTCCTAAAATTTTGAGCGAAGA